ACCAGTTAAATTAGGCCACCCTCGGCAAAAGCAAAATATAATTCAGCCCCTAAAAAATTTGAGGGCCTCGATAAATTCAACCCTCGAATAATCCAAGGGCTTCGATAACGTCGGCCTTCGGAAATACCTTAAGAGGTATTTAATTATGTTTGCACAAACAGACTACTAATAAGGTTCCGATATGTTGAACCTCCGAAAAACCTAAACGGGTACAAAAAAACACATGCTAAGGCATACAAAATTTTTACTAAGTCTTTTAGCCGAAAAGAGGGAAAAAGTATAGTCACTTTAAAGGCCAAATCGGCCCAACCTAAAGAGCCTAAGGGCCATCTTAAAGAGCCTAAGGGCCAACTTAAAAGAGCTTAAGGGCCAAATCATATAGAGTTCAAGACCTCGCTCTCACTCAACTCGGACTTAAGAGTCCCATTATTCCGAGCTCATATCGAATTGATTTAGATTTTACTTGAGAATGAACAAAACCCTAGGGGGTATTATATTGATCAATAAAAACCTAAGGGTTTATTATGTTCTGAGTCCGAATCAATACTCAGACTGATTGTTTGAATTGTCGAAGTCTGCCGCAAATGAAAACAAAATAAAATTCAACACATTAAGGATAGAGCGAAAAGACACTTTATATTCATGGAGGGTGTTTTACAAAACATATTTACAACGCTCGCGAAGGGCCCTTGCACAGAAAAGAAAATGAAAACCTAATCCATTTACGGGGTCACACCTCCGGAAGCGCCATCTTCAGAAACTACACCTTCAGCAGCTCTATCTTTGGGAGCCCCCTCTCCCTCGGGAGCATCTTCTTCACTTTCCCCATCCCCAGAGCCACTCGTTATGTCCTCATAATCGGAGGAGACAAGAAACCTGACATCAGTTTTTCGCGCCTTTGCCTCGGCTATCTCCTTGGCAAGATTGAACCCCCGAGCATGAATTTCTTTGAGAGTCTCCCTCGGAGCTTGGAACTTAGCCAAATCATTGCTCCGCTTTCCCCGGTCAGAGGCCTCCCTCAACTCAGCTTGAACGGCCGCAGCATCCCTTAAGTACATGGCAATGGATTTATCAGCCACAACCTTCGTCTTCTGAGCTTCAGCCTTGGCCTGTACAGTTTCATCCCGCGCTCTAGCGAGCTCGGCCTCCAACTCCTCGATCTTCTTGGCCTGGGCCAGACCCTTTGTTTCAATGCCTTCGGCCGAGGCTAGCTGGGCTGTAACAACTTCTTTATCGGCAGCAAGTTGATCCATGTTCTTCTTCCACTGATGACAATCAGCTTTAACTTGATCAACCTCGCTCCGGAGCTGCCCAATCATCTCTAGCTTTTGCTGCAGCTGAGATATCGAAGTGTTAGCCTCCGAAGTAGGTCCAAGAAGGTCGTACTCTATTAAAATCACAGTTACCTGCTCATCTAGCTCGGACTCGCTTTTTTGAGCTTTGGCCAATGCGTTCCGAAGATCCTTAAGCTCCTCTTCCTTTTTGGCTACAGAGGAGCCTTAGGTCCTTCTCTTCGCCCGAAACTTTCTTGAGCTCAGCCACATATTGGCTCAGCTCAGCTCTGAACTTTATGATGGCCTATACGTGTAATGGAGATATATCAATCAATAGAAAAGAAAGAAAAGAGAAAATTACAATAACGAAAGTAAGTGCTTACCCGGGAGAGGAGATGTTGAGCCTCTTCGAAGATGGCGGATGCATCATTAAGGTCATTGGCATCCTCAATCCCGGCGTAGCAACCCTGGAAGGGATCTTCCTTGAGGACATTGCTCGAATCGGGCATACATAGAGTGTTGGCTTCCTCGATTGCCCCCTCGAAATAAGTTGGCAAAGAAAGGGAGCAAACTGTTGTCGTGGCCCCAAGATCTTCACTCGGGGCATTCTCATTAGCTTCGAGGGTCTCAAAATTTGCCCCCTCCGGTATAGTTGTTGAATATGGAGGGACGACCTCAACCTCCGGGGACACGGGGGCCTTGCCCGTATCTTTTTTCGGAGTTCCCTCACCACAAGATGAGGTCTCTGGGATGGAGGGCTTGGCGGCCTCGATGGATTTCCTGGCTCGAGGCACCAACGCCGACTCTTCAACATCATTTTCCTCATTATCTGGGGAAGCATGGGCTGAATCTGTGCCCGTTTGAGCAAATCTTTTCGCAACCTTCGAGCAGGGGTTTTCTTATCTTGAAGGTCTTCAGGCTTCGAAACCCTCTTATTTTTATTATCTTTCTCCGATTTTAGAATTGAAGGCTTGGTTTTTTCCCCTAGCGGAGCCGGCCTCATCTCAGATGCATCTCCAAGACTTGCACAAGTAAAAATGAGTAAATTGACACCACCAGTACATGAAACGTATTTGAAACTTGGGAAAAGCACTTACCATGGTTCTTGGCCTCCCACTGGCCCTTTGATAATTCACGCCACTTGCGCTTGTCATAGAAAGAGGTGGAAGCTAACTTTCGAACCCAGTCCTCGAGGTCCGGCACCGCGAGGGGCGCCCAAGCAGTGGCTGCCAAAAGAAAGGCAAATGTATTATGAGATGAAGAAGCAAAACATGTATAGATACAGGGGAAAGGAACTCTACTTACGATTAAAGTTCCACCTCACCGGGAACTGCATTTTGTCCCCGGGGATGACAACCGAAGTTCTTACTCTGACGAACCGGCTCATCCAACCTCGATCTTTGGTCTCGTCAGTACTGGAAAAGATGGCCTTCATTGTTTGACGTTGCAACTTGATGAGCCCTTGAAATAGATGGGGCCGATACAGTCGAATCAGGTGACTGAGGGTGAATTCTAACCCCTCGGCCTTTTCAGAAAAGAAGCGTAGCATGATCACGATACGCCAAAAAGAGGGATGAATCTGACCGAGGTGACTTCGTATGTTTTGCAGAAGTCGATCACCACCGTATCGAGGGGAACCAGTGTGAAGGGATCAGTGTAAATACTTAAAAAACCCTCCACGTGGGTAGTAATGCTTTCCTCGGGGTTCGGGATCTTAATCACAACCTCATCTCCCCAGCCACAATCCTTCCTCACATCCTTGATGATCTTCATCGTTATTAGGCTAATATATCGAGATGCGTGCTCGCATCGGCCTGGGACGTCGGGGGATTTTCAATACTAAAGTCCTTCTTAATTACGCAAGGGCCAGGGGTGATTTCCTCAAGAGTTGGCAGCACCACTGGTTTGACCGGCCGGGAAGTAGAAGAAGATGACACTTTATCCTTTTTGGGGACCGTTTTGGAAGTTTTAGCCATGACTATTAGCTAAAGAATACAGGTTGCACAGGGATGTGGTGTTTCTTACAAAAGCTTGGCATTTTCCGGCGCTTAAAGAGGCGGTGGAAACGGGTGATTAGAGAAAGAGATGAAGACAGGGAAGATGTAAGGAAAGGGTAAAGTTCATTACTAAGAGGAATTGCCTCATATTTATAGAAGGGCAACGACGGTTCGGCAGCGCTAGTGGCCGACCAATACTGGCGTGCATTCAATTTTTTGAGGAAGTGGACCGACAGGATGTTTCTGTCACTTCGAGCGCATGTATCACAGAAATGATGTCATCACTAAAGACTTCGGAAAAACGAGGATGAAAAATGTTTCTTATCATCTTACTCTAAGAAACACAGGGACTATCTGAATACGGTCGAGATCGAATGCCTTCGGTTTATACACTTGGGAGGTCGTCCGAATTTCGAGTCCGGGTAAGGCCAGGTTCGAGCTCGAGGGACCAGACCCGAGTTCAAAGGCGAAGCACGATGCATACCGAGGTCAGGTGTGTTCTACCCCGAAATAGTACTGTTATGGATTTGTACCAGAACGAGCTGGATTCCTGCCACGTCCCCAAAGTCATGGCGCAAATCACGGAATAGGATTGTACAATTCCATACTAGACGGTTAGACAACTGTACCAAGAATATTCCTTACTGTAAATGGAAATATTCCTTATTTAGGGTTCCCCCATTATATAAGGGGGAGCCCAATCATTTGTAAGACCATCTTTTTACTGAGTAAAGAATATACTCTCTACTTTTTGCGTGTTGTTCATCAGAATTGTCCCTTAGCTTAATTGTTCTTACTTTGATTTCCTTATTTAATTGTTCTTACTGCCCTAAGCCACCTCGAGGTCACCGTCTCGAGGTCACTGCTGCTAAGTAACGTTGGTTTGGTTCACTTCCATCTTTCATTTCTACTTCCTATTTCTTGATTATTAATTGGTATTGAACTAAATCACATATCATTAAAATCAAAAATCAAATTTAATTGTTACTCGTATTTTTGAGGTAAACATAATTAAAAAATAGCCACCATTTCAAAAGTAATCGAAATGTAGCCACTTTTTATGTAAAGATAAAATCTGAACAAAAATGCTCTTAAAAATCCAATAACATTCCAGCATAATATGTTGGAGTTCGAATTTTTTACATTTGATCGTCCAGCATAATATGCTGAAATTTTATAACGTGCTGGAGTTCCATCATAATATGTTGGAAGTTTATATACAGAAGCTTCATAATCCCGCATATTATGCTGGAACTTTCTGTGTGATGGAGTTCCAACATAACATGCCAGAAGTTTGTACGCAAGAGCTCCATAATCCAGCATATTATGCTGGAACTTTCAGTGTTTCAGTAAAACAGTGATTATTTTTCAATGATTTTACAAACACTGATTATTTTTGAATTACCAATCTGAAAACTGGTTAGCCCGTACTATTTTTAGGAACTTTCCATCTTTTAAGACAAAATATTTTTTCTTCTAATGAGCTTTACACAATTCTAATTAAATTTTTAATACCAAATGGATAAAGAAAAAAGTAGTGCAAAATGACGGAGCTCTACTTCAGTGGCAACTCGTAATCCTCTCTAGCTCGAATCAATACACGGACGCCACGCGTCCAATTCCACTTTAGAAACCAAACATTGATGACACGTCTGTCAATTTCTTCATCTGATCTTGTTTCCTTTACCACTGCTTTTATTCGCTAAAAGCAACTTAAGAACCAATTAATTCATCTCTCACATCTACCGACATTTGAAAGTCCATATTCAATTCTCCGTGTTACGTTCGCCACGCGGTTATATATACATATTTTGTCCTTTATCTTTAAATCTTTCTATAAATTCTCAACTTCTTGATTTGTTCTGATATCCAGAAGATATCTATTTTTTCTGCATAATTTATATAGCTCACAGAGTTTCTTGAAGTTTTCTGCTTCTTACTGAAAAGGGTAAGTTTTATATTTCCTTGTTTATCATTTTATTTGATTATCTCCTTTGATCTCTTTTGCTGCATTTATATATTTATTTTATGTACTATTGGTTTTCTTGCTTATTATTCTCGTTTATTGATATATCTGTGGTATTGAGATCACTGTATGCAAATATATATGGGGTTAATATCTTTATTAGGACCCCTCCCCAACCCCTCTAGTAAATTAAAATAAAATCTGTAATGTTTATATTGTTTATAAAGTCTGTATTATTTCCTCTTTCTGTGCAAGATTAGCGATTTTGATTGATTGAGATTCGGTGTTCTATCAATCTTGGTTGTGTATTCACTTCTAAGCTCTCGTTTGGCCATAAAATTAGGATTTTTTTTTTCAAATATCTGTTTATTTATATATTTTAATCATTTTTCAAATCCCAAAAATAACTCAAGAGTAGTTTTTGAAGTTTTCTGCTCAGAAAGCTTCAAATTCTTTTCAAGTAAAATGCATGTCCAAACACAATTTCAACTTTCAAAAGTCATTTTTCATATATCTACAAAAACTCATTTTTTTTCAAGTTTCAACCAAATCTATATCCAAACGCTAGCTAATTGTATCTATTTGGATTATGTATAGTTAACCACTCCTTACACACTAACAATAAGTAGGCTTCAATAGTAAATTAACTAGAGGCGGATTAGGATTTAAATATTGATGGATTCAATCTTCTTGGTTCTTATCACAAACTCATATGAAACTAACTCTATTCCTTCGATAAAAATGAACACGTGAAATAGAAAATAGAAAATAGAAAACAAGAAAAGGCCACTTCTTTTTCTTTTTTCTGCCTAGTGAAAATTTGGGGTAGTTGTGGTCCTGGATAGTAGAATTCAAGGTAATATAGGTTGTGGCTACCGTGTCTCGATTAACAGTGTTAAAATTGTATAAGGTTACTGAAATAATCAGTGACATCGTTGCAGTTATCTGCAATTAACAGAGTGATCTCTCTTAGAACCTTACAGTTGCTAGTATGGCGTTGCTGCGTCTGGATTAGGAGATTGGTGAAAGCCTGTCTTATGAAATGAATAATCATAGTTTATTTACATGTAACAAATTTTACTGAGAATCTCTAGTATAATATGAAAGAACGAAAAAAGAAGAAAGCCTACAGTAGAATAAGGCTTTTAAAAACAAGAAATGCTGAAGATGAGTTAGAAGCTGAAGTGTAAAGTAGCATGGGATGTAGAGCTGCAGGAAAAGGATAGAGGGAGTGTTTAGTTGCTTGTGATCTGTATGGTTTTACCAAATGCTATTACTTCAGTTGGTTACCATGTGATTCATAAGCAATACTAGAAGAATATCTGCCATTAAATTGGGTGAACATCGTAGGTTCAAACTGTCTAGTGCCTACCTCGCACGAATCGGATTAGTTAACCAGTGAGTTTTGGATACCGGATATCTAAAAGGAAGAACAAACTGCATAGTTCCGGTCGACTAAATACATATTTATTTGGTCACTTCTCCCAACTCCCCCCGGTACCTTGTTTGCCGCAACCAGTGAAAACGTTGTTTGCCCTTTATTGTTTTGACAGAAATCTTTATTAGTTGCTTGCCATGTTTTCTTCTGCGGTTGTTCTTTTTCTTTCTACCTACTGCTTTTATTAAACATGAAAATTATAGCCTTATTGTTTTCATTATTTTTCCATCTCCTTCTCAGATTCCTTGGAGTAAGTAAAGGCACATTGACGTGCGGACAATTTTGGATAGGAAAGACAAAACTGCTTTTGTTGCCGGGGGAGAAGAAAAGATGGAAAAGAAAGAACATCATCTCAAAGTTGAAAATGAGATTGAAAAGTCTGATAATTTGAAGGAGAAAGAGGAGGAAAAGAAGATTGGCAAGGAAGAAATGCATGAAAAAGAATTGAAGGAGAAAGATAAAGAAAGTAAAGAGTCTGAAGAAAAGAAGATAAAGAGCGGAGAAGAGTTCAAGAAAGGATCCGAAGAAAAGAAGGATAAGGAGGACAGGGAAAACAATAACAAGAAGGAAAAGAAAGAGAAAAAGGATAAAGAAAAGAAAGACAAGAGCAAAGAGGAGGAGTCAGAGGAAGAAACCGAGGAAGAGAAGGATGATGAACACGGAAAGAAGGATAAAGAGAAGAAACACAAGAAAGAGAAAAAGGATAAAGAGATGAAAGACAAGAGCAAACGTGAGTCGAAAGAAGAAGATAGCAAAGAAATAGAGGAAGAGAAGGATGACGGAGAAGGGGAGAAGAAACTTAAGAAGGGTAAGAAAGACAAAAAGGAAAAAGAGAAGAATGACAAGAGCATAGAGGAGTCAGAGGAAGAAAAGGATGATGAAAAAGGGGAGAAAAAGGATAAAGAGAAGAAAGACAAGAAGGAAAAGAAAGAGAAAAAGAACAAGGAAGAGAAAGGCAAGAGCAAAGGGGAATCAGAAGAAGAAACCGAGGAAGAGAAGGATGACGAAAAAGGGAAGAAGAAGGATGTAGAGAAGAAATTCAAGAAGGATAAGAATGAGAAAAAAGATAAAGAGAAGAAAGGCAAGAAAAACGAGAAATCAGATGAAGAAGACGAGGGACAGACCGAGGAAGAGGATGATGAAAAAGGGGTAAAGAAGGATAAAGAGAAGAAAAAGAAGGAAACGAAAGAGAAAGATAAGAGCAAAGAGGAGTCTGAGGAAGAAACGAAGGAAGAAAAGGATGATAAAAAAGGAGAGAAGAAGGATAAAGAGAAGAAATGCAAGAAGAATAAGAAAGAGAAAAAGGATAAAGAAACGAAAGACAAGAGCAAAGAGGAGTCGGATGAAGAGGAAGAGAAAGATGACGAAGAAGGGGAGAAGAAGGATAAAAAGAAGAAACACAAGAAGGATAAGAAAGAAACGAAGGATAAAGAAAAGAAAGACAAGAGCAAAGAGGAGTTAGAAGAAGAAGATAAGGAAAAAACGGAGGAAGAGAAGGATGATGAAACAGGGAAGAAAAAGGAAAAAGAGAAGAAAAGCAAAAAGGATAAAAAAGATAAAGAAAAGAAAGTCAAGAGCATAGAGGAGTCAGATGAAGAGGGCGAGCAAGACAAGGTGAATGAGGCTGAAGTCGCCACAAGAGAGATAAAAGTTGAGGAAGACGAAAAAATATCCGACGGTGAAGCAGACGAGAAAAGTAAAAAGAAGGAGAAAGGCAAAGAAGGTAAAGATGAGAAACAAAAGGATGCAAAAAAAGATAACGCTGAGAAGAAGAAAAAACTTGAGGACAAGTATAAAAGCAAAGGTCTGGATAAGTTGAAAGCCAAGTTGGAGAAGATCAATGCCAAACTGGAAGCTCTTCAGAAGAAAAAAGCGGACATCCTGAAGACAATAAAAGAAGAAGAGGGTAAAAACTTATCCGTGGTTGAGAATCCCAAAGATGCAAAGGCAGAAGATGGAGTAGTGGACGAACAGTGAGTAGTGTATTTTCATAATTATGTTACATATTCTTATACTGCTGTTATGTATCCCTTTCCCTTCTACTTTCATTTAGAGATGTATTATTTTTGTCTTAATTAAGTTAAAAGTAATTAGAGATGTAATACTTGCATTAAGTTTTTGACCTTTTGCAATTCATCTTTCTTAAAAAAATTCACTTCCTTCTGTCTTGCTTTGTGCCCATCTTAGTGTAAAGTTGTTAACATGGGGCAGGCAGCAAAGGCAAAAAATTGCTTCCTAGGCATATTAGTCTATGTCATGCAATGACATTTGAATATGTGGCCTCTTATATAGACATAGAATCTATTTGTATGAAGATATCAATGGTTATAAATGTGCATGCATGTCTGTATTGACAAGTACCGTGGATATTATCTATTGAAAAATAGTTAGTCCCTTAAAAAAAGAAATTCTTTTAAGAAGAAAATAAGTGGTTGCTATAAGGTCTCTTTCGTCTTATTTTTAGCAATAGGTCTCTTGAAGAGAAAAGGAAATTAGAAAAAAAGAAGTGGTTGCTATAACGTCTTTTTCGTAAATTTTCTTGATCGTCCAAGAACATTAGATATGTAATCAAAAAGTTTTGTTTAAGACTGGTTGGATTTAACATTTATTTTTTATAGGGTATATGTAGAACGTTAATTATACACAATTATACGTATATTATACGTAAATTGTATATAGTATATATTCAATAACTATTTTTAATTAAAACGTTAAGTAAACTGCAATATAGATCGATCACATTAATTATGAGCCACAAGAGGTTGTCACTACTTAGTACTTACGTGAATCGTGATAATTGTTGCCGCTAAGCTTCACCAAATCAATTGGTATACAAATTTTTAATGAGATAGACAGAGTAAAAACTTCGCCTTCAATCCCTAATTTTTTACCTTCACTATCATAATTATGGTTTAACTGATGAACTTTAGTTATATAGTCTTTTGTATGAGAAAATACATTGAAAAGATTTCTACGATAATCTAGTGTTCTTATTTAAGATTTTTTAGAATATAAAATAAGATTTGGACTTTTGATCAATGGTGTTATAGTGGTTTAAGCATAAGACACCAACAAAAATGCCAATTAGCTGTCACGACCCATATTCTCCCTTCATAAATTTGTCGTGACGGCACCTAGTCTCTACGACTAGGTAAGCTTAACATTTGCGGAAAAGAAATGAAAAACTTAAGAATTAACAACTATCAGAAAGAGATAATTTAAATAAAACATTTGAGATGCCGCTCGGCATATACAATAATCACTCTCGAAATGTACACAACTCTCCCATGATTGGAACACCGTGAATCACAAACTATAGAATGAACACAGTATCTCGATACTCCAGAGTCTAACAAAAAGGAAATACAGGAAGTGTTTGACATGAGGAAGAGTAGAAGGGGACTCCGAGGTCTGCGAACGCGGCAGATATACCTTGAAGTCTCCAAAGCTATCTCGACTCACTGATAATGCGGTTGATAAGCGGTACCTGGATCTGCACACGAAAAATATGTGTAGGGAAGGGCATGAGTACATCACAACGGTACCCGGTAAGTGCCAAGCCTAACCTCGGTCGAGTAGTGACGAGGTCAGGTCAGGGCCCTATTAGTATGTATATATATATTTCATTCTCTCTCTCTCTCTCTCTCTCTCTATCTATCTATCTATATATATATATATATATATATATATATATATATAGAGCTCAGTACACATAGATAACAACAGGGGATCTCCCTAGATACCGTTTCGTAGTCCCAAACGTAAATGTGCAGGGGGGGTCTTCCGGAATACTGTTCCATAGTCCCAAAGTAAATATGCAATACAGGGGGATCTCCTGGAATACCGTTCCGTAGTCCCAAAGTAAATATGCAGCTCAACCAACGGACATAACAGTTACAACAAGAAAGCCTACAGTTTAAACTAAGTTTAAGTAAGGGAAAACCAGGAAATTCACTAACACATGCTGCACAGAGTTAAGATAAACAATTAAGGCAAGTAGACGTGCTATTCTAAGCTAATAGGACACTACACATGCTGATATAACTCAAATAAGAAGGAAAGACAGATCATTACTTAGCAGAAATCGACAATAATTTGCCCATGTACGTACTCGTCACCTCACGTACACCGCGCTCAAATATAAAAACTGTACCAAATCCTAAGGGGAATTCCCTCACACAAGGTTAGGCAAGCCACATACCTCGAACCAAGCTCAATCAATCAATCACAATGCCCTTCCTACGAATATCCGGCTCCGAATGGCCCAAATTTAGCCAAAAGCAATTACATATCATAAAAACGACTGTAATAGACTAATCTAATTAAAGAATTCAAGGCCTAAACAAGAAATTCGAAAATCACCCTAAGAAGCTTCCCCCGACCCACGTCTCGGAATAGGGTAAAAGTCATAAAATATGAACACCTATTCACTCACAAGTTCACTTGTACCAAAATTATCCAAATCCGATGTCAAAATCCCAATCAAAACCCAAAATCTTAGTTGAAGAACTTCTTTCCATTTTTTTCTAATTTTTCACCCCAAATCCGAAATTAAATGATAAAATTAATGATAGATTAGTGGGATATAACCAGAATTAAGTGTAGAATCATTACTTAATTGCTATCTCTAAAAATCCCTCCAAAATCTCGTCCAAATCCGAGCTCCCAAACTCAAGTTTTGATAAAAATGGCCTAACCCTCGTTTTTGGAACTTTATATCTACCCAGTTAATTCCTTCTTCGCGAACGCGAAGCTCACATTGCCTGATCCTATGCGAACGCGGGACACACATCGCGAACGCGTAGGCTATTTTGCCTGGAACCCATATGGCCGTTTGACTCTACACGAACGCGAGGTCCATATCGCAAACGCGTAGCCTTAATGTTCCATAGCTTCGCGAATGCGGGACCAATGTCGCTAACGCAAAGAACAAACCCAGCTTGCCTCCCAGATGCCCTACGCGAACGCGATGAAGAAATGTCTGCAACAAAAATTCCAGAAAGTCTACTGCTTTCCTAAGTCAAAAAATGATCCGTTAAGCACCCGAAAATCACCCGAGGCCCCCGGTACCTCAACCAAACATACCAACCAATCCTAAAACACCATAAAAACTTAGTCGAGCCCTCAAATCACTTCAAACAACACTAAAATCACGAATCACCCTTCAATTCAAACTTAAAGAACTTGAAACTTCAAATTTTTACAACCGATGCCGAAACCTATCAAACCACGTCCGAATGATCTCAAATTTTGCACATAAGTCATATTAAACATTACGGACCAACTCCAACTTCCAAAAATCGGAATCCGACCCCGATATGCAAAAGTCCAATACCGGTCGAAATCTCCAAAAATTCTACTTTCGCCATTTCATCCCTAAATAAGCTACAGACCTCCAAAATACCATCCAGACACGCCCCTAAGCCCAAAATCACCCAACGGAGCTAACGGGACTGTCGAAACTCCATTCCGAAGTCGTCTTCATACAGTTTCCACTACGGTCCACATCCTAAGACATAAGCCTCCGTTTAGGTACTAAGTATCCCAAAACACCCCAAAACACCCCAAAACGAAAACGAAATGTCTCGGCAAGTCACAATAGTAGAAATAGATATGGGGGAAGCAATTAATAGGGGATCGGGGCTATAACTCTCAAAACGACCGGGCGGGTCGTCATATCCTTCCCCTCTTAAAACAATCATTCGTCCTCCAACGAGTATAGAGACATACCTGAAATGGTGAAAATATAAGGATAATGGCTGCGCATATCCTGCTCGGTCTCCCAAGTCGCCTCCTCGACCGGCTGACCCCTCCACTGAACCTTCACTGATGCAATGTTCTTTGACCTCAACTTTCGGACCTACCTGTCCAAAATAGCCACCGGCTACTCAACATAAGATAGATCCTTGTTCAACTGGACTGAGCTGAAATCCAACACATAGGATGGATCGCCGTGATACTTCCAGAGCATCAAAACATGAAATACTGGATGAACTCCTTCTAGGCTGGGAGGTAAGGCAAGCTCATAAGCAACCTCCCCAACTCTCCGCAGCACCTCAAAGGGACCAATAAACCTTGGGCTCAGCTTGCCCTTCTTTCCAAACCTCATAACGCCCTTCATAGGCGAAACCCGAAGTAAGACCCACTCTCCAACCATGAATGCAACATCGCGAACCTTCCGGTCCACATAACTCTTCTGTTTGGACTAGGCTGTGCGAAGTCTATCCTGAATCACCTTACCTTCTCCAAGGCATCCTGAACCAAGTCCGCACCCAATAATCTGGCCTCGCCCGGCTCGACCCAACCCACTAGGGACCGACAGCGCCTACTATACAGAACCTCATACGGTGCCATTTGAATGCTGGACTGATAACTGTTATTGTAGGCAAACTACGAAAGGGGCGAGAACTGATACCAAGAACCTCCAAACTCCATCACACATGCACGGAGAATATCCTCAAGAATCTGAATAGTACGCTTGGAATGCCCGCCGTCTGAGGGTGAATTACTATGCTCAACTTCATCCAAGTACCTAACTCCTAATGTACGGCCCTCTAGAACCGTGATGTAAACTGCGTACCCCGATCAGAGATGATAGATACCGGTACGCCATGAAGCCTGACAATCTTGCGGATATAAACTCGAGCCAGCTGCTCGGAAGAATAGGTAGTCATCATAGGAATAAAATGAGCTGAATTGGTCAGTCATCCACAATTAGCCAAACTGCATCAAAATCCGATGAATCCGTGGGAGTCCAACAACAAAATCCATAGTGATCCGCTCCCATTTCCACTCCGGGATCTGTAACTTCTAAAGCAATCCACCCGGCCGCTGATGCACTTCACGTGCTGGCAATTTAGACACCGGGCTACATATTCCACTATATCCTTCTTCATTCTACGCCACCAATAATGCTGCCTCAAGTCCTGATACATCTTCGTGGCACCCGGATAAATGGAGTACCGCGAGCTGTGAGCCTCCTGTTGAATCAGCTCACGCAATCTGTCTACATTGGGCACACACAGCCTGCCCTGCATCCTCAATGCACCATCATCCCCTATAGTGACCTCCTTAGCATCACCGTACTGAACCCTGTCCTTAAGGACGAGCAGACGAGGGTCATCATACTGACGCTCCCTGATACAATCATAAAGAGAAGACTAGGAGACCATACAAGCCAAAACTCGACTCAGATAAAAAATATCTAATCTAACAAACTGGTTGGCTAAGGCCTGGACATCTAGTGCCAATGGCCTCTCTGCTGCTGGCAAAT